CCACCCTCACTACTCTACCCACCACCCTCACTACTCCACCCACCACCCTCCCTACTCCACCCACCATTATCACTACTCCACCCACCACCCTCCCTACTCCACCCACCACCCTCACTACTCCACCCACCACCTTCACTACTCCACCCATCACCCTCCCTACTCCACCCACCACCCTCACTACTCCACCCACCATTATCACTACTCCATTAACCACCCTCCCTACTCCACCCACCATTATCACTACTCCACCCACCACCCTCCCTACTCCACCCACCACCCTCACTACTCCACCCACCACTATAAGTACTTCACCCACTTTAATTAATGTTTCAGAAAAAACTCTGAGTGTTGAAATGGAGGTTACCTCTTCCCCAGATTTATACGAGAACCAAACAAGGGACGAGGTGCCTCACTACAATCTAGGATTAGTGTGGGAGTATTATCCTTCCAGTTAAGTCTTGGAAGAGCATGTGGGATGGGATGAAGTACCAGACATTCCTCTGGGTACAGACATGGATTTGACTTCAGATATGCTGCTAATTAGTGGCGGCATATCTGAAGCTCGCTCGTAGCTTGAAGCAAAAAATTGACCGAGCGATGGCTCGTAACTCGGAAAACCCGTAAGTTGGGGCACTCGTAAATCAAGGTACCACTGTAGTTTGAAACCGAGCTTAAACAAGGGGAAATGTTCGATTTTTGCCAATATTCCAGAGTACACAAATTGCATCACTCTTTCAACGTGTGTCCAATGGGTCAGTCTGTGTTCGCAAATGCTGACATTATTTATACAATTATTACAATAATGCAGCAGTATGCATAACAGTAAATCTTGTATTGTGTGAAAAAAATTCAAAAGGGAAATCAAGCATAATATAGAAAAGGCCTGGGGACATAACTAATGAGCAGAGGAAATGTTTTTCAGTGCCAGGAAAGTCTACACATACATTGTTTATTCTGGACCCTATTTTTAAATTGGCATTTTTTTTATTTTGTGTGAAATTGGCCAAATTACCAATTTCTGATCACTTTATTGGGTAGCTGATACAGGGAAATGGGCAGTTTCTTGTACTCATTTGTTAGAAGGAATATTAGTGAGTTTGGTTGACAAACAATAGAAATGGCTGAAAATAGGGCTCAAACTGGGTGAAATTGCCAATGCATAAATATCGCCAAGACCACTAAACTCTGCGAGAGCATAATTCCATAAATTTTCCATCAAATTTTGTACTTTTGGTTTCATTACCTTCAGAAAAATGTTCTCTAGTATTCCATAATAAATTTTTCTGAAAATTCTCCAACCATGAGAGCAAGTTTCAGATCAGGGGTTCTGACTATGAAAGGGTTAGGAATGGCTTCTAAAGCCAGCTGTCATTCAAGAAGAAAATGTACAGTTCTCAGAAATATACAGTGGACCCCCGGTATTCGATATTAATCCGTTCCTGAGAGCTCATTGAATACCGAAAATATCGAAAAGCGAATAAATTTTCAAAATAAGAAATAATGGAAATCAAATTAATCCATGCAAGACACCCAAAATATGAAAAAAGAAAAATTACCACATGAAATATTAAGTTTAATGCAATAGAATAATTACAATAACAACAATAACAATAGAATAATTGACACTTACCTTTAATGAAGATCTGGTGGATGATTGATGGGATGGAAGGAGGGGAGAGTATCAAGGTTGTTACTGTTTAGAAGGGGAATCCCCTTCCATTAGGACTTGAGGTAGCAAGTCCTTTTCCAGGGTTACTTCCCTTCTTCTTTTAATGCCACTAGGACCAGCTTGAGAGTCACTGGACTTCTGTCGCACAACATATCTGTCCATAGAGGCCTGTACCTCTCGTTCCTTTATGACTTTTCTAAAGTGATTCACAACATTGTCAGTGTAATATTCACCAGTACGGTTTGCAATACCTGTGTTAGGGTGATTGTCATCAAAAAAGGTTTGCATTTTAAGCCACAATGTACACATTTCCTTAATCTTTGAAGTAGGCAACTTCTTCAATTTCTCTATCTCCTCCTCAGAAGCAGTTTCCTCAGGTCTGGCCTCTTGCTGTTGAAGATGATCTAGCAGCTCATCAGTTGAGTTTCTGTGGTCACTACAAAGCACTTTTGAAACATAGCTTTTGTGTACAGTTTCTTGAAGTTGGAAATGACCTGCTGGTCCATGGGCTGCAGGAGGGGAGTGGTATTAAGAGGCAAAAACTTGACCTTAATGAAGCTCATGTCCCCAGAAAGTCGCTCTGCCAAGTCTGTAGGATGACCAGGGGCATTGTCTAATACCAGGAGGCACTTAAGGTCTAATTTCTTTTCAATTAGGTAATTTTTCACATTGGGGCAAATGCATGGTGTAACCAGTCATAGAAAAAGTGCCTAGTGACCATGCCTTACTGTTTGCCCTCTACAGCACACACAAATTAGCCTTGAGGACATTGTTTTTCCTGAACCCTCTGGGAGTTTCAGAGTGATACACCAATAAAGGCTTCACTTTGCAATCACCACTAGCATTGGCACACATCAGCAAAGTAAGCCTGTCTTTCATAGGCTTATGTCCTGGGAGTGCCTTTTCCTCCTGAGTAATGTAGGTCCTGCTTGGCATTTTCTTCCAAAACAGGTCTGTTTTGTCGCAATTAAACACTTGTTCAGGTTTCAGTCCTTCACTGTCTATGTACTCCTTGAATTCATGCACATATTTTTCAGCCGCTTTGTGGTCCGAACTGGCAGCCTCACCATGCCTAATCACACTATGTATGACACTACGATTCTTAAATTTTTCAAACCAACCTTTGCTGGCCTTAAATTCACTCACATCAGCACTAGTTGCAGGCAATTTCTTTACCAAATCGTCATGCAACTGCCTAGCCTTTTCACAAATGATCGCTTGATAGATGCTATCTTCTGCTATCTGTTTTTCATTTATCCACACCAATAACAGTCTCTCAACACTTTCTAACACTTGCGGTCGCTGTTTCGTAATCACAGTTGAACCTTTTGCAAGAACAGCTTCCTTGATTGCCGTTTTCCTGGTCACTATAGTAGAGATGGTTGATTGGGGTTTACCATACAACCTGGCCAGCTCCGACACACACACTCCACTTTCGTACTTTGCAATTATCTCTTTCTTCATTTCAATAGTCATTAGCACCTTTTTTCTCGAAGGGTTGGCACTAGAAGCTTTCTTGGGGCCCATGGTGACTTATTTTGCAGAAACAAGCACCAAAAACAGTGATAATATGGAATGTACCGAATGTATGCTTAGATGCGCGCACACTGCCTGACTTGTAAACACTGGCACACACGGGGCAGTTCAGGCCACATGTGAACACGTCTCGTATGGAAAGCATCGAATACTAGGTTTTCAATCGAATACCGAGGCGAAATTTTTGCATTAAAATGCATCGAATACCGGGGGTCCACTGTACATCTTCTCAGCCATATACATTTACATTATTTTCACTACAGCTTTACAGCTCCTCTCACTCAGAATAAAAGTTATTCACAATAGTGGTTACTCAGAATAAAAATTATTCTGAGTCACCACTATTGATCATAGCAGTTTACACATCTCTCCACCATGAAAAGGAACTGTTAAGTACAATTACGGTAAATTAAGTAAAGTATTATAACATTACTATACACTACAGTCCTGTAGTACTACAGGTCACAATATTCATACTCTTAGTGTCTGGTTGTCTTCTGCAACAGTGGACCATGTCAATTTCTTTAGAAGACAACTGAACTATCAGCATTATTGTATACCCCCTACCCCCCAATTAATCCATTGATGAGAGGTTTTACTGCACTTATTTTATTTTCTACAAGTCTATCAAAAAGGAAGCAACCTGACTCACTAATATATTGGCAAGAGGAAGAGGAGCAGAATAATCAACAGAAGTACTGGTGGGAGCGGTCACAAGTATGAACCAGACTGTTATGAGTACATTACTTCAGTAAAATGCAAATTTAAATTTTTTTTTTTTTTTTTTTCAACAAGTCGGTCGTCTCCCACCGAGGCAGGGTGACCCAAAAAAGAAAGAAAATCCCCAAAAAGAAAATACTTTCATCATCATTCAACACTTTCACCACACTCACACATTATCACTGCTTTTGCAGAGGTGCTCAGAATACAACAGCTTAGAAGCATATACGTATAAAGATACACAACATATCCCTCCAAACTGCCAATAAAAAATCCAAACACGAATTATTACAACTGCATAAATTAAAAACAAAGACAAAGTGCAGGTGTCTTCACTGGACAAATGGGTTTAAGAAAGAATAAAGTTCTTTTAGCATGACAGTACACAGAGCTAATGAAATTAGAAAAACTGTGATTAGAGAATGTCTCAGGCTCTTTACCCAATTCTCCTTGTAGAGTATCTCCTTTTCTCTGTCTTATGACTTGATAAATGTTCCAGGAAGGAACAAAATGTCTTGAAGATTTCTCTCAAATTTTGTGGTTAATTGTGAATTATTCCAATCCCAATATTAATTCTTCTTTAATAAAATTCACTGCTGATGTGGACAAAATACCAAACGATATGTGGAAGAGCCAAATGTTTCTATCATTCATTCCAGATTCAGTCTTTATTTATATACACTTGTACATTTATAACTGCTTAATACTAGCCTTGTCATATGAAGGGGCTTTAGCTTAGTGGTGTTCATGTTGAAGAATTGAGACACTTGTGCAACACATGGGAATCTTTACTGAAGAAACATTTCGCCACACAGTGGTTTCATCAGTCCAACACAAAGTAGAAATGGGTAAGGAGAGGAGGAGTTCGAGGTAATCAGTCCCTCAACCTGAGGCATTGATTACCTCGAACTCCTCCTCTCCTTACCCATTTCTACTTTGTATTGGACTGATGAAGCCACTGTGTGGCGAAACGTTTCTTCAATAAAGATTCCCATGTGTTGCACAAGTGTCAATTCTTCAACTTGTCGGTTTTCAAAACCATTCACCACATCTGGTGTTCATGTTATTGACTTACTTCTGTATCAGACTCAGAACCTGATTCATCATCATCTTCATCTTCCTCACCATCGTGGTGTCGTCTCTTTTTCTTCTTCTTTCCATCTGGTAGGACGTTAGATAGGGAAACATTGACATATGCAAGTCTCTGTCTTCTTAATTCTTCATTATGAGCTCTCTTCTGACATTCATCAAACTCATGTAAAAGAGCTCGTAATTTATTAACAAGTTGAATCTGGAAAGAAAGAAATTCTAAAAGAATTCTAAATTACTCTAAAGAGCTAGTTACTTAACTTCAAATTTACTGTTGCAAAACTTTCCTAAGAGTTCTATTAATCTTCAATGTACTCTTGAACTACACTGATAAGATTTTTAACATGATGATTAGTATTTACATGTTCACAGGTAGGGCACACCCAATCTCCCTCAGGTACACTAAGAAGAGGTGGCCGAAGACAAGACAGATGCCAACCAGCATCACAGTTGTCACATAATAAAATAGTTTCCGGGTGGTCGTCATGGCCACATTTAGTACACTGTGTCTGATCCTCCTCTTCTTCCTGTTCATCATCTTCGTCTTCCACTTCACTCTCAGTAGTAACTAAAAAATATAGTTAGCAATAAAAATTATTAGAAATATTACAAGCAGCTACTAGAATTCAATTGTTGAATTTACAAGAATTAGAACCGTTTGGGCATTCAGCACTTTTAAATGCTGACAGCTGCTATTATCATGGCTAATTTATCCAATTACAGGAATTATAACTACAAGGGAAGTGAATAAATTCAGTCAAGTTATTTACAGTCCACAAACAATACCCAATAACCATAAGTCGTATCAAATTTAGGAGAGAAAAATAGTGCAAGAAAAGTATGTATACCAACAAGATAAAAGTTAAGACGCTTGTGCAACATCTGGGTATCTTTATTGTAGACATTTCAAAGGACATCTACACAACTCTTCTTCACAGCTACTACAACTAACCCATCCCTTTGGGTAGGACCTACTTCCACTGGAAAATCCCACCTACCAGTGACTATGCCCTCGTCTGCTACACGTCCCTGTCCATGGACGCCTATACAAGCGCCAGTCTCCTTGCCTATGCTCCAGAATATCTACAACCATGGTGCTCTCCACACCAACTCCAACGCTGAGGGACTGATTACCTCATCTTTTGCATATAATTCTACTGTCTTCTAATCATGTCCTAGAATCTGTATTGATAAAGCCACTGGATGGCGAAACGTCTACAATAAAGAAAACCAGATGTTGCACAAGTGCCTTAACTTTCATCAAGAGAAAAACAGCCTTAGCAGTTTTCCTTCCTGGGGATGGGTTACCTCTTTCCCAACAAGCAACACTTCTTAAACCCCACCATTAAGTTAACAAGTGACCAAGATAAAATAACAAGACAAAACTTAAATTCACTTTGCTAATTCTTGAAGTATTAGTAGTAACTTCAGATATGAGGATTCAGATACACCATCTTTGTGCTCAAATGTTATTTATCAGTTTACGCACTCTAGCCACAATGCCAGTTACACTGAAAGTACATTTAGAAACTTCCAAACAAGAATAAGTGAACTCAGAGGACTGTCATACAGCACCCCTCACTAGATTAGCTAACCCTCCTTTTCAGCTATAAGACTACATCATGAGACCAAAGACTACCCATTAAATACCAACGACTAAAATTGTAGCTAAAGAACAGGATAAATTGGATTTAAGAATTTTAGGTAGTTCGTATTTTTTTTTAAGGAGCCAGGCATATCCCACCTAGGCAGGATAACCTGAAAAGAAAAACAAAAGCTTTTCTTTTTAAATTTAGTAATTTATACAGAAGGAGTTACTAGCCCCTTGCTCATGGTATCTTAGTTGCATCAGTTTTTATGTTAGTGTTCAAATCTGAACTCAATGACCATACATTGGCAGAGTTATTTGTATTATTTAACTATGTTTTCCCCTGCATAGGTTTTCCTTTTTTTGTTGAGCTCAATTTGTTTACTGTATAAATGTTAGCTCCTGTTCAGCTTTACTTGAGATAGCACATTCTCTTGGAATAAATCTCTGATTTTTCAATTTTCTTGTATATTTTAACTTACTTCAACCTTTTATCTGTGTTCAACATATTAGCATGCAGGTGAAGACTATGTTCGACATACCAGTAAGCATAATTTTTCATGCCTTCACATATGCCATCTGCCGGTATTTTCTATCTCAGCTCAACTGTTTAGGTCTCCTACAACCTTCTCGTGCCTTTGAAAAAATCTAAAACCAGGTAGGTCTCACAGTATATTATGGGGTAACACAGCTTAAATACCAAAGTAAATACAGCCTTTCCTCACTTAACGACGGAGTTCCATTCCTAAGACCTCGTTGTTAAACGAATTTGTTGCTAAGCGAGAAGCATACTATAATGGTAGTGAGTTTGTGTCAACCATCTTTGATTGTTTTAATGACACCTTTGCACCATTTATAACATATCTGGTATATTTTTAAATGTTCATGCAGTAGTGTGCTGTATATTGAAATAAACAGAATAGAGGAAATAAACTCTAATATACATTATTTAAGTATGAATACTGGACAGAGACCCAGTCATAAGTCTGATGCATCGGTAAATGAGTACGTCGTTAAGTGTGGAGAGGCTGTATAATGAAACCAAGACCTGGTGTTCCACTACCAGCTTCCCTGCCAGAAAACAGGGTATGGAACTGCCAGGAAGTTGTCTTTTTTTTTTTTTTAACACATCGGCCATTTCCCACCGAGGCAGGGTGACCCAAAAAGAAGAAAAAACTTTCATCACTCATACATAAATCACTGACTTTACAGAGGCGCTCAGATATGACAGCTTAAACGTCCGTCCAAACTGCCAATATCCTAAACTTCTCCTTTAAAGTGCAGGCATTGTACTTCCCATTTCCAGGACTCAAATCTGGTTAACCAGCTTCACTGAATCCCTTCACAAAATATTACCATGCTCTCACTCCAACAGTTCGTCAGGTCTCAAAAACCATTCATTTCCATTCAATCCGTGGACTTCCATCAAGCATGCACACGCATGCTTGCTGGAAGTCCAAGACCCTCTCCACAAAACTTCCTTTATCCCCTCCCTCCAACCTTTTTGGGGATGACCCCTATCCCACCTTCCTTCCCCAATAGATTTATACGCTCTCCAAGTCATTTTAATTAGTTCCAATCTCTCTAAATGACCAAACCACCTCAAGAACCCTTCTTCAGCCCTCTGACTAATACTTTTAATAACTCCACACCTCCTAATTTTCACACTACAAATTCTGTGCATAGTATTTACACCACACATTGCCCTTAGACAGGACATCTCCACTGCCTCCTCGCTGCAGCATTTGGAACCTAAGCTTCACACCCATATAAGAGTGTTGGTACCACTATACTTTTGTACATTACCCACTTTGTCTCCATGGATAATGTTTTTTGTCTCCACAGATATTCAATGCACCACTCACCTTTTTTTTCCTCATCAATTCTATAGTAAACCTCATCCTTCATAAACCCATCCGCTGACAAGTCAACTCCCAAATATCTGAAAATCACTTCTTAAATACTCCCTCTCTTCAATGTGATATTTTCTTTATCTAAATCATTTGATACCCTCATCACCCTATCTTTATCTATGTTCAGTTTCAACTTTCTACCTTTACACACACTCCCAAACTCATCCACTAACCTTTGCAACTTTTCTTTAGAATCTCCCATAAGCACAGTATCAACAGCAAAAAGTAACTGAGTCAACTCCCCATTTTGTATTTGATTCCTCATACTTTAATCCCACCCCTTTCCCCAACACCCTAGCATTTACTTCTTTTATAACCCCATCTATATTATTATTATTATTATCATCAAAAAGAAGCGCTAAACCACAAGGGCTAAACAGCACTGCAGGGCAGGAAGGAAGCGAGGGTATCAGGTGGCAAAAGGGAGATAGGTGAGTAATAGGTTACGGAGAACAGCGGGGGAGTGGATGGTGAAAGGGTAGAGGGCAGCAAGAGATTGAGGTAGAAAGGGCTGAGGGGAGTGCAAAAGGTATCATCATCAGAGTTTGTGGAGTAAATCAGTCGTTGTCAAGAAGTCAATGAGAGAGTCAGGATTAAAGGAGGGTCCATCAGCAAGAAGGGAAGGTAAAGAGAGAGTAGTAGAGCGGAGACGATGTTGGAGGTAAATTCTGCGTGCTCGTTGATAGAGAGGGCAGTCTAATAGAATGTGGCTAATTGATACTGGAACTTGACACTGCTCACAGAGAGGAACAGGGTGCCTCTCCATGAGATACCCATGAGTAAGATGAGTGTGTCCAATGCGAAGGCGGGAGAGAGTAGTCTCCCAACCTCGGCACTGATGACAAGAAGACGGCCATCTATAAATATATTAAACAACCATGGTGACATTACACATCCCTGTCTAAGACCTAGTTTTACTGGGAAAGTAATCTTCCTCTCTTTTACACACCCTAACCTGACCCTCACTTTTTTGTTTTGTTTTTTTAACAAGTCGGCCGTCTCCCACCGAAGCAGGGTGACCCAATAAAGAAAGAAAATCCCCCAAAAGAAAATACTTTCATCATCATTCAACACTTTCATATAATCACTGTTTTTGCAGAGGTGTTCAGAATACAACAGCTTAGAAGCATGTGTGTATAAAGATACACAACATATCCCTCCAAACTGCTAATATCCCAAACCCCTCCTTTAAAGTGCAGGCATTGTACTTCCCATTTCCAGGGCTCAAGTCCGGCTATATAAAAATAACCGGTTTCCCTGAATCCCTTCTCTAAACATTACCCTGCTCACACTACAACAGCTCGTCAGGTCCCAAATACCATTTGTCTCCATTCACTCCTATCTAACACACTCATGCACGCTTCCTGGAAGTCCAAGCCCCTTGCCCACAAAACCCTTTACCCCCTCCCTCCAACCTTTTCGAGGACGACCCCTACCCCGCCTTCCTTTCCCTACAGATTTATATGCTCTCCATGTCATTCTACTTTAATCCATTCTCCCTAAATGACCAAACCACCACAACAATCCCTCTTCAGCCCTCTGACTAATACTTTTATTAACCCCACACCCTCTCTTAATTTCCACACTCCAAATTTTCTGCATAATATTTACACCACACATTGCCCTTAGACAAGACATCTTCACTGCCTCCAACCATCTCCACGCTGCAGCATTTACAACCCAAGCTTCACACCCATATAAGAGTGTTGGTACCACTATACTTTCATACATTCCCTTCTTTGCCTCCATAGATAACTATCCTCATGAAAAACTTTTTACAGCATTTAGTAACTTACTATCTATTCCATATACTTGCAACATGGCTCCCCTATCCACTCTATCATACGTTTTTTCTAAATCCATAAATGCAATGAAAACTTCCCTACCTTTATCTAAATACTGTTCACATATACGCTTCAATGTAAACAAACACGATCTACACATCCTCTACCCCACTCTAAAGCCGCCTTGCTCATCTGCAATCCTACTCTGTCTTACCTCTAATTCTTTCAATAATAACCCTACCATACACCTTTCCTGGTATACTCAGTAAACTTATTTCCCTAT